AATAGCAATAAAAACATTGACAACAATTATTATAAGCCGCACTTACTGTATCACCATACAGTACATACTGTAATGTACATCATCTCTATCTTGATAGTTCTCTGTGGTAGCATAAATATAAAGCTTTACAATCATGTAACAATGTCTCATCAATGCCACTGAAATCCTGCTTGTGTTTCTTGGTAAATAAACTATTCTTTCACTACTCAGTTCTCACTAAAAATTAAACCACACCCTTTGAAACACTTGCAAAAAATATATTATTACTTTTGAAACATAGCATCTAGAAAAATGAAACCATAAACAGTCTATATAAGAGGCCTTAATGAATACACTCAAAGTAGTAACTTGTTCATACCTGGTGCAGAAGTCTCAAAAAGGTGGTTACAAAATTAATATTAAAAAAACTAGTTCATGTCCAGCAATGAGTGGACGCGGATTAGTATACTGAGCAATTATCTCCATATACTACTGGTTGACTTTATACAGGGCAGGAATGGACATTTCCATTTACTAGGCTATATCTTTCTTCAGAATAAGTCTCATCATTTTGCGCACTTCAGTAGCTGTTCTCCATAATTATAGCTGTGTTCCTGCTAAATATGACAGCACTTGGAGTAACTTTGTGTGGAACATTTGCAGATTAAAGATGAGGCAGTCAGTGCCGCCATTTTGTCATTCCTTTATGTATGCATGATAATTTTTTTACTTTTTCAATGGTTATATCTAAATTTCAAACAATTTTTGACAAATTGCGCACTTATTTTGTGAAAGTACAACATTTTTACTGCCCAATCATGCAAAAAAGATAAAGAAATTCAAAACTTTGTTCGGTACTTTAGTCTTCTAAAGGTGAAATAATTTTAGTTGTCTCAGTGATAACGGGTGCAGCAACAAGAGTGAACAAGTGCTTTTCTCTTCTCACGGGAATAATAAAGTAAAACTAAGAGTGCTTAACAGCTATACAAGCAAATCATGTCTCTAGATCCTTTTAAAGTAATAAGAAGGCCTTTTGTTAGTGGATGAGTCTTCTTGCGCCACGCCTGCCACTTTAACAATAGAATATGAAAAAACTACCATAACCAATTGCTTTAAGTAGCATTCAAGAAGCTCCAAGTATCTAGTGAAGTCCCATCCAAGAACCAGAAAGACGTTAGCAGGCTTTGTAGTGAAGCTTCCTATCAATCCACCATTGCTGAGCTGCCGTTGCTATGGTAATTCCAATGAATATCATTAAATTAATGCGACCGGAAGTCCCATTGCAATAGCTGGACATGTTTTGGCTATTATCTCAGTCATTTCTCATTACATTGACACGAGAATAGTTTCAGTCCATGTAACAAACAATACACTATTATGATTCCAAGACTTACTAGCTAACTCCTTTCGAGAGCCTAGAAAAGGTGGTTACAAATAAAAATGGAGGTCTTCTAATTTTGTCATGTAAACATGAGGCCTGTTGACTAAATGAAATGAGAATATTATATAGGCGGTAGCCTATATGTAGGATTGAGGTCGATTTTTCAAGATGGCGTCCGTTTTTATGATTTTCAAACACTTATAACTCTTTTATCTTACATTGCACAGCCTTATAAATGGCTTAGATGAGCTCTCCTTCACTGAGCGATTCTCCTGGTACCTTTAAGGTGGACTGTAATGTAGCGGGAGCATTTCTGGAAAACAGGCCCAAATTCAAATTTCTACAAAATTCTTCAGACTTTTTCTTCTTCTTCTTTCATCTTTCTTCTATACACCGGATAATCTCTTACACTAGAGAACAGCTCAAGGTGACTTTTACATCACTCCTCTGGGCTTGGGTCAAGGACCACAAAGGTAGTTTCTAAAAGAAGCGAGGTCAGAGAACAAAATGGAAGACAAAATCCAGCTGCAGCCACCGCGTGGGTTTGTGGTTTGACGCCATTTTAATTTATGCGCACGTGATTAGCATGAATATAATTAACCTAACCACAGAATCATAACAGAATGTAATTT